AATTTAAAGCTGGATCCGCCCCTGTTTGCGACCATTGAATTGAGTTTTTACAACTTTTCCAGACAATTTTCGATAATTTGGGGTTTTCATGACATTTGAACGCAGTTTTTCAAAAAATTGTCACTGGAGACGCGGAATGCGCAATTACTAATGGGTTAGAGGCCGCAATAGCGGAAAATATTGTTTTCTAAATTTCGCCAGATAAGGGCGATTTCTATATCGGTTTTTCATATAAAGACGTGCGCATTTTACTGCTCTATTCCGCAATGAGAACTGGTGTTTTCCAGCTCAGGCAGTTCTCTAAATATGAGCTCAAGCGTAAGAGCGGGTTTTACACTCCRAGCAGTTTTAAATTTTCGCATTTTGYGTGAAAACSGGATMCATTTTTAATTGATCTTCTATATAAAATTGCGTATTTTCATGCTCTATCAGGCAATGACAACTAGAGCTTTGMAGCTCAAGCGGTTCTCTAAAYTTGAGTCAAAATCTAAGGCTTTAAGATCCACATAATTTCAAGTTTGCGCATTTTGCAAGGTGTTCTTTCAYCACGGTTGCAAGAGAWTTTCCAAAAAATTGTTAATCGAAATATGGGTCAACTATACAGCTGTTTTTGGCACSATTTAAGAGAGAATATTTTTATCCATAACCACAGTAGTTTTATTTTAAATTTAGGTTCACTTTTCTTTAATTTTTGAAATTTTTTAACTTTAAAGCTGCAGAGCAGTTTGGGCGCGACCGCGTTTACAAGAGATTTTTCAAAACTTTGCCGTTCAAAATCCAGACACGCTTTAGAGCTACTTTTAGAACCACTTAATAGAGAAAATGTTGGTTCTTGACTAGGGGTTCCAGCAACATTGTTTAGAACTCACCAGTTTCAAGCAATGGCGACCAAAGCTTAACTCTTTTGATAAATATGCGGTTTTAGTGGCAGGGGAAAGAGCAATGCAGTCAGCTCATTGAAAAACAGCTCAAACTCTTCCCATTAGAGAAAAAACGCATTTTTGGTCAATTTCTTATTTTAAATTGACATCATTAATACAGATTCAAACACTTCCCAGGTCAACGAATTTTTCCCAGCCTTTAAATATTTTATGAAGGTCTAGTGGGTTTCCAGCTATTTCCATTCTCTTGCTTCGAATTGCCTAAAAGTTGAGCAATATTATACATGATAGTGCGAATGTAAGTCGTTAAAGTGTGCAAACGATACATCACGGATTCTATAGGGCTGTTGGTCGGATTTATGACGGTTATTCCTCCGGGTTTAACGGCGGCTCAAAATTATTATCACTTGTTGCTGGCAAATAAGCAGCTTTTTTATTGATAATTCTTTCAAAGTGGTACTCGAAAGGTCGGCTGTGTAACTGTTTTTGTCAATGCTTGCTAATATCTGGATATTAGTCTGAACGTACCTACGCGACTTCAAGCTGGAAAATCGAGTTTATCACGCGAGCTTCTTAAGCGATCCAGGAAATATATTCTATATGGGATGTTTCGGCTTTACTATAAGGTGAAAATTAACGTTTTACCGCGTTGATCAGGCCCGGGAAATTTATTCCGTTTTCGCTATTTCTGAAAGAAGTCACGTTTCCAATCTGGCGTTATCTCAGCCTTCTGGTGTTACAGTTTGACTGCAGCTTTTTCATTTTCTCTCCGAATTCGGTCGGGACATGTGGAATTGGAGCTCAGGCGATTTCAGTTAAATTTTGGGATTCCCCAATAATCACATTTTTGGCAAAAAATGAAAATGAGTTGCAAAATCCATTCATTCATGTTTTCCGTCCCGTTTTTACTCATTTCTCGGAGGCAAAATGAGCATGAACGTTCATTTGTACATCATTCTAGACAGAAATAAATGGCCKTTTYAGAAAGTGAACMATSGATRRGGAAATGTTGGCAGTTTTCTCAAAAAAATGCTTRAATTCAAGAAGTTTTAGATTTGCGTGGTTTTTTTTTTGAGTTGCAAAAYCCACTTGAASATGACGCTGCTTTTTTCSAAGTTTCTCAASAACCATTCGGGCCAGGGAATTCGTTTTGGCATCGTTGGATAGAGAATTAAATGCATTGGTGCATGATCCGCGCTTGGTCGCAAAAGCCTAACTTCTTCTTCTTATGCAACATTTCTTGGCATTTTCAGCGAGTTTTAGTTTCTCCAGAATCGATGTGAAATGGGCGGTTACAGATTGAAAAATCGCAAAAAGCGCTCTAATTTGCACTTCACTCGACTTTAATCGCTTCCTGGCCATAAAAAAAACGTGTGAGTTTCAAGCGATTGGCCAGCACAACCATGCGCTCAATACATTCCTTCTCCGCTCTCACGTCGTTATTAGCGTGATGTGAGTAAACGTGCCTTCGCATGTCGTCCTAGGAAAACCTTCACCCAATTACCTCAAATTGTAATCCGCATGCCACTTTTAGTAAAACCCACAATTTTGACTTATAACGATCAAAGCTCTAACTTTTCTAACTTGCTCACCATGAAACAACACCCCATCCATACCACTAACATTTTGCTATATTCAACCGTAATTTATATAGAGAAAGTTCTGAACAAAATTCCCCGGCAGGAGCAGAGATATAGTTTCAATTACGCTGTACGGAGTTTAATAATGAGGCAGCCAGGGCACTTTATCTAGGAAAATGAGCCCTAGTAACAACATCAAGCCCCCATAAAGAAAATTGTCTATAGACTCCGTTGGAGAAAAACGTATTAAAACAACAGCAAAATCTAAAAAAAACGTGCATGTAGCTATCGCTTACATAAAAAGCACAGTGATGAACCTAACGGCTGGCTAAGCTGGTGGCCCCACATTGAAGAGCAAGAAAGGCTGTGCAGATTGCAAGTTGGAGGCGGCGACCGGCCGCCTCGCATACCTTCTTCTATTCGGTCTTCGTGGGCGATGTCTTCGGGGCTGGTAGAGCGTCACGGCGGCTTCGTCGAGGGTCGCGCGGGCTCGAGGCATCCTAACGGGGGCTCCCATCGGCCCGAGCGCCGGCCGAGCACTACAGCCGCCTCACGTGGGGCGGCACACGACCTGCCACACGTCCAGACACGCACCTCAAAAATGGGGGTGGATGACTGGCGCCGACCAGGCCACATCGCACGAACATGACAACTTTTTTCTACTAAATTCATATTTTCTCAATCATTGCGCTTTTGATTGGGGGTGTCGATGCTAAGCAACTGTAATCTTCTGCTTCTCTGCTTCACGCCTTAATCAATGAAGACAGTCAAGAAGAGCATTAAGGCAATGATCCGGAGGAGGAGGAAGATGGAATCAGTACGACTGCAAGTGAAGCACAAATTGAGCCAATGGAAGGAACATGATGTGCGCAATTTGTACATTGGAGATCATTTATTTCACAAAATGGTGAAAAGTGATTAATGTAAAAGTTGCTTATGGAAGTGATAACTTTTTATGGGAGAGTAAACCGATTTTTCTCGGTCACGGCGAGCCCCACTCCGGCCTCTTCGCGCCTAAGGCTTGGGACGCACAAATGCACTTTTTTGTTAGTCCGGGTGCA